TGTCATTATACAGAGAGAGGCACCAGCCTTGCACCTCATGAATATACCGTCCTACACTGCTCAAAATGGCCTTGGACATTGCAAGCTCATTAATTAGTTTGCCACACCAACAAAGGGTAGTCGTCATACAACAGCCCTTGTTAACCTGAGCTGAGATTCTCTAAGTATTTCAACCAAAACCATATGGTTTTAGGTAAAATATAAAACAGACTTAAAATCTATCTTTCTGTAGTTAATAAGTGATCATAAATAGCAGGCATAGAGATCAAAGTTGGTTGTATAAGACATAAAAATAAATTTGTCTAAATTCTACAGACTAAGCAAGATTTGAATCAAGCAGTTTCTCACCCCACTGGATGTTTCAGGTAGTTTACAGTTCTTACACAGGCGGAATTTCCTTCTCAGCCTGGGATTAATCTCCCCCAGTTCAAAGTCTTTGTCTTCCAAATGATCTTCCAGGTGTTGAGATGGAGGAGGAGAGAGGTCAAGTGGTGATGTCATCGACCCTCATTTATACTTTCTTTCCAGGTGCTAAAGAGATCCTTGCTGTGACATGGAGGTTAGGTAGCCCCCATTGTGTAAGTGCTTCTCTGAAAGAGTCTCTGGGAGAGTGGATTCTTCTTGATGGGCCATCAATGCCTGTCTGACCAGTTACATTACACACATTGAATCTATTTCCCCATGTTAAGTATTCTCACACCTCCTGTAAAACTGTCTGTAATGGGCTATCTTGATTATCACTACAAGAGTTAAGTATCAGAGGGGTAGCCGTGTTAGTCTGAATCCGTAAAAAGCAACAGAGGGTCCTGTGGCACCTTTAAGACTAACAGAAGTATTGGTAGCATAAGCTTTCATGGGTAAGAACCTCACTTCTTCAGATGCAAGTGTCTTTGCTTCACGCTCCCCAGAGCCCCATGCCGGCTGGCCTGTCGCAGCAGCAGCAGAGGGGCAACAGTGGGGGCGGTGCGGTGGGCTCCCAGTCCCAGCGCAGTGGGGGTGGCGGGGCCAGCCGGGCCCGAGGGAACAGCTTCCCCACCAAATTCGGGAACCGCAACGTCTTCATGAAGGAGAACAGCTCGTCCTCCAACGTCGGCTCCCGCTCCCGCTTGTCCTCTTGCTCGCCCAGCCACCATTTCCGGCGCATTGATTCCCATTCGGACTCCAACAGCTCCTCCTCCGGCACCGACTGCCGCCTGGCGAGCCGCAGGAGTGCGTCGAAAAACCGCGGCCGAGGGGGGCACATGGACCGCATGGACCGGGGCCGCATGAGGATGCAGAGGGGTAAAAGGCATGACCAGGGCCCCTCCAAGCACAACCGCCGGCGGAACGCCATGGATTACGAGGACCCCGAGAAGGAGTTCAAGAAGCAGCGGTGGGTGGCCCGCTTCCAGCACGGCCACTCCAAGAAGCTGCACCTGGAGCCCCTCATCCTGTCCATCAACAGCCTGGACCCTGCCGGCTCGGAGAGCCTGGAAAACCCACTCCCAGATAGCGCTGGAGAAGGGAAATCATGAGGAATTCAACCAGTGCCAGACCCAGCTCAAGTCTCTTTATGCGGAGAACCTGCCGGGCAACGTGGGGGAGTTCACCGCCTACCGCATCCTCTATTACATCTTCACCAAGAACTCCGGCGACATCACCACGGAGCTGGCCTACCTGACCAAGGAGCTGAAGGTGGACCCCTGCGTGGCCCACGCGCTGGCCCTGCGCGCCACCTGGGCCCTGTCCAACTACCACCGCTTCTTCGGGCTCTACCGTCAGGCACCCTGCATGTCCGGCTACCTCATCGACAAGTTCGCCAAGCGGGAGAGGAAGGCGGCGCTCAAAGCCATGATCAAAACTTTCCGCCCAGTGCTCCCCATCTCCTACGTTCAGTCCGAGCTGGCCTTTGAGGCTGCGGAGGAGTGCCAGCTCTTCCTAGCCGCTCTGTCACTGGTGTACACGGGCACTGATGCAACCAAGATTGACTGCAGGCAGAGCTTAGCAGTCCTGGCCAACTTCTAACCTCCCCCTCCAAAGCCCCCCCTCTAATCGCAACCAAAGGGTAATGGCGGCTCGGTGTGTGCCACAGGCCAGCCACCGGGGCATGCCCTCTGCCCCCACGCACCTCCGCAGACGGACGAGGGTAAGCCGGCCGGCAGCTGGATAGCTCCTCCATGGCGTGCCGGGCAGGGGCCCACGCGATGTTAACGCTTTTCTTTAGTCTACAAGAGTTATTTCTACAAATAACTACAAGAGTTATTTCTCTTAATTAATTAGCCTCTTAGAGTTGGTAAGACAACATCCACCTTTTCATGTTCTCTGTATGTGTATATATAGCTCCTTACTATATGTTCCATTCTATGCATCCAATGAAGTGGGCTGTAGCCCATGAAAGCTTCTGCTCAAATACATTTGTTAGTCTCTAAGGTGCCACAATTACTCCTGTTCTTTTTGCGGATACAGACTAACACGGATGCTACTCTGAAACCTGTCTGACCAGTGTTAGTTGCTCATTTGTTGCCGCTGAAAGGCTAGCACAGTTGCCAACTTTCATGTGGTAAATAAGCATCCCGACTTTCACAATAAGCCAAAAATCAAGCTAATCCCATTTCAAAACAAGGCCAAAACAAACTAATCTCTAAGAATCCAACACTCTGTGACTAGATCCCCCCCGGTGTGCAGTCTGGGACTGTGGTGGGCCTGCTGTGCACCCCTGACTCTCTCCCCCCTTGTCCCTGCTTGGCAGGAGCCAATCAAAAAATGAACCCACAAGCTACAAGCCAAACAAGCAGCAAGCCAAAAACTAGCCAACAAGCAACTCACAAGCCAAAACCAAGCCCAATTTCTGCGTTTTTTTCCACAGGGTTGGCATGTCTGAAGGCTAGTTTTGGATGTCTCCCAACCCCACAACATATTTCAGTAACACACACATAGCAAAACTTCATAACTTCAGATACAAAGGTAGCACACACAATTCAACAAGATAGTAATGTTTTACAGATCATGACTTCTCAAATGATACCTCAGAAGGCGTACTTTGTACCGACCATATCATAATCATATCACAGTGGTGATATGGGGGTTCCAGGATTCTATTTGAGGTATAGAGTCAACTTCTTTAGTTTTTAATTCTTCCTCATAAGTCATTCTCTGCAGCTGCTTGATCATTTTTGCCTCTCTGAATTTGTGTACATTTTTCTGTTACTTTCTGGGCCAATACTGAATGCAGGTGTAGTCTGGCCAGAGTCATTAGAGACTGCCTCAGTTCAAGGGATCAGCAGGGATTTCAATAACATTGGCCAAAGCATTAAATGTAATACTCTAAATTTAAATGTCTGTAAATTCAGTCTGCTAGAATGATTTTTTCCCCCTAGACACCATAGTCTCGTAGCGTTTTAGGAGAGTCTTATCTAGGCTGATGTAGAACTAAGTTATTGGCAAATACTGTTGAGCATTCTCACAAATGGAACATTGTATTGTGTGTGTAATACCACAATGACTTATCTTGGGAGAATAAGTGGACACTGAACATGACCTGAACTCTATGGAGCTTACCTGAATCAAATCTCTGAATTAACAAGACTGTAGAGGAGGCACTGTTTTTAAATGATAAAAATACTTTTCCAATAATAGAATAGACTATTACCTCTATATCTACTACAGAATTTCTAAATATAACAGTTTTGCTGTACATAGCACACTCACCCTCATATTAGAGATCTGTCAGAAATAACTGCTTTTGGTATCTTTAAAAAATACATGTTTAAAAATGTACTTCTATTACTATTAATATTGTCACCCCTCTGCTGAGCGAGCAATATCAAATGTCAGGGCCTTCCTATTCCTTACCTATCAGTGATGGTAAGTTTGGATATTTTCTTACTCTGTGTATACACCAGCCTTTAAACAGAGGTGGTTAAACAGGGCACAGACAATCCCCTCTTTCAGGAATCCAGTATTGCCAACCCCAAATGTTCAAAAATCACAAGTCAGTCTCACCAAAAATCATGAGATTATGTAAAAACAATAGATTTGGAGTTCTTTTTATTTGCCTTCTGCGTTTTGAACCTTTAGGGTGCACTGGAGCCACATTTTGAAGCTTTCTCCACAGCCATGAGTGCTAGAAACTTTTTCTTTAAGAATGAAGGGTGAAATCATCACATATCCACTTGATTCCAGGAGCTGGGGCTTTAAGGAAAACCATAATTATCATGACTCATGACAAAATCATGAATCAGCAACTCTGGAATCTCAGCCAAACTATTAATGCCTGGTTTCCAGGGAGCAACAAAAATTTCTCTCTAGTTAGACAGATTAATACAGAGAGCAAATTCTATTGTTTGCCACAGCTCTTTCCCCCACTTCCAAAGAAACTTAATTACAAAATTAACATAACCATGCAAGCATTGCTTCAAAGACTGAACAGTGGTCAGATGCCAAGAAAAAGAACCTTGAGACTATGTATAGATTCACCACCTGATGACTCCTGCCAAACAATACCATAGGTTATTAAAAATGAATTAAACAATTTAAATCTAACATTTTTGAATGTATATATTTGTTTACTACTTGCAATGTGCTCAGCTTGGACAAAGAAAATGTTACAGAGATGGGAACTAAAATATATCTCATAATCCTAAAAATGAAAACTCTTTTGTGGCATTTAAGGAGAGAAGAAGTTTAGTAATTTTTTTTTAAAACTTCAAAAATGAAGAAACAATAATTATTTTGGATGTAAATGTGTGATTAAAATATTTTTGGATTGCTTAACTACTGTTTAAGAAAGAGCCATCTTAGACAGACCCATGTCTAATTTGTGTGAATCTAAAAATAAATGAAATGTTGAGCACAAGAACCAAAGCTCCCGGACCTTCCCAAAATACGTTTTTTGGTTTTGCTTTTTAAAAATGAACCACCACCCCCAGCACATTCCCTTCCAACCAATTACAACAAGTCACATTGTGATGCATTTCAGTGGATATAATAATTATAAAAGTGAGAGGACAGCTACATGACACATTTAACTTTTGACTTTCTTGGTAGGTTTTCTTAAGTGCTCTTCCCACAAAGCTCTGCTTAGCTGGCTTGGCTGTTTTGATGGCATCTTGGAATTGAAATGAATATACCTTCGTCCCTATCCATGGTTAGGAGACTCTTTTAATGTTCCTGGGCCCACTTTTTAAACACTATTACTTCATCAAAAGTCTGATGTGTCCATGGTGCCTGTGTTTTGGGCACAGTAAGAAGCGGAAAGATAAAGCTGAGACACAGGTGCCCTTAAAATCTTTTTCGGTGGGGAGAGGAGGAGGTGAACTGAGGAGGAGACAAAAGGTGTGGGGGCAGTAAAGGGAGACAGAACTGGGGAGAAGGCCTATAGAAAGTCGGGAACAGAATAAATAACCTGATACTGCAAGGTACCGAGCACCCACAACTCATGGACTTCAGCTGAAGGTGGAGTGCTCAGCACCTTTGGGAGGAGGGGAATGGAGAGGGAAGGGAATCCCACAAGTAATGCAAGAGAAGGAAAGGAAGGGCAAGAGAGCAAAGGTTTTTTTTGTTTTGTTTTTTGTGTGTTTTTTTTTTTTTACAGTGCCTCACACAATGAGGTCCAGAGCCATGACTGGAGCTCCTAGGTAATACCACAATACAAATAATTAATTAACCACAAATGCTCCTTTTCAAATTTTGTTTTTATGGCGATGGATGAGAAAATCCAGTCAAAACTGTAGAAAGTTCTCTGGAATTTGTCCAGAGGTACCTTCTTTGGTTATTTATGCAGTGGCTCCTACTGGCTCTGCAATTGACCCCCAAGACCTAGTGGGAGGTGGGCTGGGAGGGAGCTAAGTTACTACATTTGTGGCACTGACATCACTGTCACCTAGTGTCCGGGTGACTGTTTTAAAGAATCTGACTGGCTGCTGTAGAATATTGAAGTGCTTTAGCATATTTTTCTGAAGTAGGCTCCTCACAGCCCAGGAATAAGCTATTGTTCTAACAATTATGTTGTTTATGAATTTGCTGTGTCTGTGTGAAACAGAGATTGGTGGGAGGGCTCTCCAAATACCTTGGAAAACAAATTGACTTTTTACATCCTAGATGATAATGGCCTATCCTACCCTAAATAACATTGACCCTTGTATTCCGAACATGAATGCCAGAATCCAAGATGTTCTGTTTAAATGACATTCTGTTTTCCTGAATAAGAACCCCAGATACAGTCTCTCTACCACTGAGCAGATTAGCTGTGTATAAACGTTGTTGTTGAAATTAACTGGCATACTGAATACTGCACCATGCAGTTAATGTAGAAAATCCTCTTGGTCTAATTGTGTGCTTACAGATTGTTTCCTTGCAGACTTTTCAAGTCGTTATTTAGAATGGATAAACAAAATTGGATTTTTGATTGGGGAGAAGCTAACCCCTTTTAAGTGTCGCCAGCCTACTGTGTTAGAAAACTGATGCTTTGGATGCATTCAAATAAAAGGGCATCATTTTTTTCCCCTTAAACCTTTGTCTACAGAAGGATTTTCTAGACTGCTAATTCTCAATGAGAACAGCTCACAGTGATAGCACTGATGGAAGCTGTAGTATAGGAAAGTGTTATTGTACTCTACTCTGAGCAAGGTGTGATGGCTTGTCTGAGCCTTGTCTACATTACCACTTCCACCGCCTATTGAGAATTGGGGGTCTGAAAATCTTAGTATAGACCCAGCCAGATAAATGAACATGGCAGGAAGGTCAAACCAAAATCTCTCCTGTCACTTCTTACTCATTGTGGTTCATTTTTTTCTGTACAACTCTATATAATGTGGGCTGACATTTATTTAGGCAAATATTTACCTAATCTGTCTATTTAACCTATGTGGCCCCCAACACCATAATATCTGAGTAGCTTTCAAGTACCTAGTCTGGAACTAGAAATAACATGAATAATCTGCCCCCCTCTCCTCCCAAACATAACCTTCCCCTTCCAAGTCTGCAGAAGAAATAGGGATGTTTATTTACGTGTGTGTGTGTGTGTGAGAGAGAGAGAGAGAGAAAATATTACTGTGGGGAAAGCAAAATTGAAGAAATTAGTTCTGCATTTATGTTGTGGATGGACATGTCATCTCTCTGATGTAGCTAGAGCCAATCGCATGAATGGCTCTGAATACCAGGAGAGAGACCATGTCCTGTACCTTATT